AGAGCACAGAGCCCCTCATCCAGGAAGAAGCCGAGCTGTCATCCTCAGCATGGAACTGAGAGCCCCAGAGGGCCCAGCACAGAGCAGGTCCCAGTGCACAGCCACACTCAGCATTACCCGAGTGCCCGAGTCAGTGCTGGGACCGGAAGCCCGTGAGCCTGCAGCCCTGGGCGACCATCTCGGCCTGCTCCCTCGCACTAGAGCAGGTCCTCGGTGGGGAGGCGCTTTGGGGCAGCAGTCGTAGCCTGTCTTCCCCAGGAAGGAGAGGGAGCAGCAGGGACCACGCCTGCCCCGCCAAGCCCAGCTCGGAGACAGACTGACCCGAAGGGGCCACACCAGCCCCCAGCAAGCCCTGCGCCTGCCCCAGGCAGCATGACCTGGAACAGCCATTGCTCCTCTTGGCCCCAGTTCCCTCCAGCGCAGGGTCCTACCTCTGCTCCTACCTGGGTCCCTGGAAGCCCTGTGAGCCCCAGGAGGGGAGGACTTTGCCCTGGGGCTTCCAGGATGGGCTCAGGGGGCATGCAGCCTCTTCCCTGGGAGAGGAACACCTGTCGCTGTTGTGTCCTGCTCTGCTCTAACTGCCAGGAAGAAGCACCATCGCTACTTGTACCCCAGCGGAAACAAACCCATCACCGCCCCCGAGGCTGGGACCTGAACCAGTCTGCCCCAGGACCTCCACCCACACCATGGGCGCTTCAGGCAAACTCGGAGAACACCAGGCCCAGTCTTGGACTTAGAAGGGAAACTGGGGCTGGAGCTGGGCCTGCCAGCCCTTCCCACAGGGAGGGAAGGGTTTTAATGGAAATTGCATTATCTCCAGTGAGAAGCAAAAGTGTCTTGGGGTTTTTTTTTTTTTAATTTTTGTTTTTTGCTTTGTTTGGTTTTTTTTTGAGTAACCGAAATCAAACTCAGGACCTCACACTTGCCGGGAAGGCACTGTGCCGCTGAACTGTATGTCTGGCCTAATTTGTTTTTTTGAGATAGGGTCCCACTCTGTAAATCAAGCTGGCCTTGAACTCACTATATAACCTAGGCTGGCCTCAAAGTCTCAACTATCCTCCTGCCTCATCCTCCCGAGTGCAGAGATTACAGGTGTGCGTCACCACACCCAACCCAAGAAGCAGAAGTTTAAACACTTTAGTCTAGTCACCTTGGCACAGAGGACCAGCCTCACGGCCCAAGGGGACAAGAAGGACTTGCCACAGAGCTGGACTTGAACTGGCCCTCTAGGGGGCAATGAATCTTAGCATATTATTTTAGATAAAATAGTTTTGGTAAAAGCCTACATGGTGCCTTGGGAAGCCTCCCGGGACAGTATAAGAGCTAATTCCCCAGATCAACACTGCCCAGGAATGTCTCCCCAAGACAAGGGGGCGCCTAGGCCTAGTTAACCCTCCGTGACCCTGCCTGGGCAGTTCCGTCTCCTGGCCCTAGGTAAACATTGTAACCATAAAGGAAATGTATGGTTATCTAAAGGGGGACATGTAGAACAGAGTACAGAAAGTATATATCATTGTGGTTGGGCTCATGACCGGAGCCTGACCCGGTTACATGGCACAAAGAAAACAACAAGTGGCCAGGGCTACAACATTCCTTTCTGTTACCATGGAAACCAAAAATGTATATAACCTGGGAACAAAGACAGGTCCACACCCACTTCCCAGACTTGCAAGTCGGGATGAGAGGTGACCGGTCTAAATTAAAACTTTTGTCTGGTCTCTTGCGGAATACAGCCCGAATTTTTGCCGTAACAGCCCCAGCATAGGGCTTACCTGTGGCAATTTCCAGTACTGCCCACCAGCTCGGGACCTCAGCACGCAGATGTGCACACTCAGACTGCTGAGGTCAGCGGTACAGCGCACTTGGCACCACCAAGCACATGACGAGAGGCAACCTGTGGCCCCTGCAGAGGTGACATAGGAGATTAGGGTGTGGCAAAGCTGGTTGAAGAAGTAGATTGACCTGTTATCTACGAGATCCTGGGACCCTGCGCAGAACGGTTCCCAAAGCCCAGCATGTGTGACTAAAGGGAAATATTATAACTCCCAACCTGCTAGATGTCAGCTCCTCTGAATCCCTGTTCTCCAAATCGAAGAATAAATTCTAAGGTACAGTGGAGGTTAAGAGTAGGAAATTTTATGGAGAGACAGCTCGTGAGAGAGACAGGAGGGTCCCACATGGGTTGTCCGTGAGCCCACTTCTCAAAGGAAGTTTTATAGAGCAAAATCACGGGGTGAATACAACGTGGGACAAAACTGTGGTCAACCAATAAGATTACAGCTATTGCGACTAGATAATATTGAACCAGTGGGGAAGCAGGTCACCCCCCGAGTATATGTGGAAAGAATCAGGACTTTTCTGGAAGAGGTAAATCAGGAGGTCCTGGTCACCCACCTGGGTGACTTATGTCTATCTGGACTTCATGGGATCAGGTGATACCAATTATAGTATGTTACTATCCCCCAGGGAGGCCTGGAGCCCTGGTCATTCCATCTTTGTCTACAAGCCTGGTCTCCAGCGGATGCGCCTCCAGCCAGGGTGGCACTGTGTTCTCATCCTCTGCACTGACTCCCTCGAGGGTCCAGCCCTGTCTGACTGCCTAGGCTATCTCTACCTAACTTGGCTGTCTATGACATTATGTCTTCCTCTAACAAATCCTTCTCATGCCTCTTTTACTGACACGTCCTGAACATTCTTTTTCCACATCAGGAATCAGTGAGCCCTGGTATTTTAAAGGGGTGGGTTGAGTTCCTTGTTTCAGCCTCAGGGACCCTCAGACCCAGCCGTGCCAGAACCTTTGTGCCCTCTCCGTGAGGGAGGAGATCTTTCCTGCGGCTCCTGGCCAGGGCCGGGCTCTCAGCTTCCGTGAGCTCTGCTTGTGGTGAGGCCCCAGCGAGGCTGTGATAGGGCAGCTGTGGGGCCGCCCAAGAGTCTGCAGTGCCAAGTGTGGCCTGCCCTCCAGCAGTGGGCATATGGGAAGTGTGCTCTTTACCCACGTGGGCATAGGTCAGCATTGTGCCACACAGCACATTCCCTTTTCCTTTTTTTTTTTTTTTTGGCTTGCGAGAGAGGGTCTGACTATGTAGCCCAGGCTGTCTTTGAACTCACAACCCTCCTCCTGCCTCAGCCTCCTGAGTGCTGAGATGACAGGTTGCGCACCACACCCAGCAACAGTGACATTTTAAAAGAAGCCATCCATTATGGTATTTATGTGAAGGTTTCTAGATCTGAAAGTTGGCCACAGATGCGCTCACTATGGGGAGCGAGTGTGGTGAGCTAAGTGGTAGACCCACCGGCTGGCCCCGTGAGGGGAAGAGTGAGTGTGGCTGGGGTTACAGTCCCGTGGGGACCCCTCCAGAGGTCACTCATCCCCTGGGGACAGCTGTGGCTCCTGGGCCCTGCTCTTGGTAGCCTGGAGAGGGTTTCCCTGGGCCCGAGCTGGTCCCCAGCGGGACAGCTGGAGCCACCCCAGGGCTACACAAGGCCAGTCCTCCTGTCGAGGCTGACAGCGGCAGTGCCTTGGGCCCCAGCGCAAGACCAGTGGTCCCAGAAGGGCCCCAGCAGCCCCACACCTGCCCCAGGTGCTGAGGCAGAGGGCACAGGGGCAGGCCAGGCCACGGGGCAGTGGATGTCCCACGGACAGGACTGAGGTGAGTGCCAGGCAAGTGGCCTCATGGCTGCCCCAGAACGGAGTCCCAGATGGAGATGAACCCCAAACTCTGACTGGAAGACCTCACCCTGTCTCAAAGGCCAATGTCCACGTGGCCGGGGGGATCAGCTTCCTTCCTCGGGGTCAGTTGCCCTGTAGGTGGAAGTGGGGTGAACTAGAGGTGAGGACCCTGGAGCATGCGCGTTCTCAGGGTATCTCCAGACTGACTGTGAGGATGGGGCGCTGGGGGATTCCAGTAACCCCCAGACCTGCTCCAAGCCCAGCGGCTCTGCAGAAGTTTGTTTTACACACTGGCTGGGCTTCTGCAGATGACTTCATTGGCAAGGAGGGCCCAGTGCTGAGAGAAAAATCCCAGGTGGTTATTCCAGGGCTCTCTGAGTCCATGGCTAATTTATTCTAGTGTGCGAGGGACTGATGGTAGAATATAGATACTCCTGTACTTATGACGGGGATACATTTCCAAAAAATACAACTTTATATTGAAATATGGTACATAAAGTATGCTGACTCCCCCTCGCCTGCCGAACATCGTTACTCAGCACCTGGCGGGCCGGGAAGCCCCAGCCAATCCCCCGCAGCGCCAGGCGGCCGCCGGGGAGCCGAATCTTCTCACCACCTCCGCACGGCTTCTCCAGACGCGACTGTACTGCATAGCCCTGCCCGGGAGAGCACAGACGTGTGAGGCGCGGCTTTCCTTTTCCTTTGCTGCTGCTGCTGCTGCTTCTCCTACTACTCCCCCTCCTTCTCCTCCTCCTTCTCCTTCTTTTTCTGGTTTTTTGTGACAGCATCTCACTATGTAACCCGAGCTGGCCACAAACCCGTGATGCCAGCACTCTGGAGACTGAGGCAGGAGGATAGCAAATTGGAGCCCAATCTGGACAACACGGACAGAACTTACCTCAAAATTTAAAAAATTAAAAGCACTGGGGACGTAGCTCAGTGTGAAGGCCCTGGGTTCAATCCCCAATACCACAGGAGGAAATGAAAAAAAAAACGGAGCAGGGCTGGAAGGAGGAGGCTGGGCCCTGCTCTTCTGCCCCGAGAAGCAGCGAGACAGCCTTCACCAGATCTGTGACACGGGGAAAATTAATCCAAGCCTGACCCCGCCAGCCCCGCTCTGGGAAATGAGGATTTTTACCTCCTGTGATTAAGAGGTTCCAACACAGTTCCAGCTGGCGTGGGGCACCGGGTTGGTGGCCCTAAACACCAGCACTGGGACCTGTGTCTCAGCCTTGCCGTGCAGCACATCTGGTCAGGAATGAGCAGTGGGGGTCCTTATCTTCTCTCACTGTGGTGAGACGACTTGCTCCGTGTGGCAGGGGAGAAGGCTTTTCAGTTAAATTAGAACCTGGCCATGGTGGTGCGCGCTGGGGAGGCCGAGGCAGGAGAAACTCGGTGAGTTCCGGGCCAGCCTGAACTACATAGGGAGATTGTGTCTCAAAAAACGAAGGAAAGAAAGGGATCTGGTTGTAAGAAAAATATTAAGTAGCTAAATCCTGGCGCGGTGGGTGAAGGCTCACGGCTCCGGAGATGCCCCCTTTGGGAATACCTGAGTTAGCCATGAATTCCCCAGCCCTAGCTTAGGCTACTGGAAACCTTCCCCCCCCCACCCCCGCCCCTCCCTGCACTCGGAGGGTGCGTTCGCCACCTAGCGGCCATAGTGTGGAACTACAAGGTATTTTTGGTGGCGTTGGGAGCAACTTAAGGTCAAAAGAATATTTTTGCCAGAAGGTGAGACAGGACATTCGTAAGAGTTGGCCAGAAAATATTCTTAACGAGTTGCAGACCATTTGGAAATATCCCATACAGTTCCTCTTAGAAAACGGTCAAAAGTAAAAAGAGTATTCACAAAGACTTTGTTCTCCTGAAACAGTATGTGTTTATTTCCCTCCTTGCTGTTCCTCCGCGACCCGGGACAGCTTCACGCGTGTGTGACTCATTGTCACCCGGATCCCGCTCACGAGGCGCCTCTGACGGGTGTGTGAGCTCCGGAGCTGCTGCCTCACCCCCGTGATGACTTGGTCCTGCGTGTGTCTCCCTAGGGCACAGGACAAGGACAGCAGCAGTGCGGGGTGCGGCTGGCACCTCCAGGCTCTCACTGCCCACACCCTGCTCCTGCGCCCCAGGCCTCCCCGGGCCTGGCACCCGAGGGGGACCCAGGCTGTGGGCCTGCGCGAGGATTTGCACACCCACCTCCAGGAGCTCTGTGACCCCAAGGGCCGCTTCCGCCAGACCGGGCCGGCGGGGTGCTGCCCTGCTTCCACCCTGCTGATTCCCTCGGACCTGGATGGTCAGGGTGAGCCGCAATGTGCCCCCACGCGCAGCCCCGCGTGTTTCGAGGGAGCGGTGGCCTGTTAGGAGGTATATCTGCAGCTGGCCCCACGCCAGCAGCTTCAAGCAGGAACAGGGGTTCAGCGCTCACCTCCCGGGGTATCTGCGTACAAGACCTTCGGAGCGGCCCAGCGGGAGAGTTCTGGACCCCGCAGCCAGGGTCTCAGTGGAACTGGGGCCATCATCACCGGAAGGCGGGGCCTGTGCTGCAAGGGGCACTTGGAGACGTGAGCCAGGCCCCTGGGCGGGGTCAGGTCCTGGCTGGGTTCTGATCAGGGACTGTGGAGACACTGGAGTGCCTGAGTGTACAGAGAAACCACTAGGGGGCAGAGCTGCTCCCACTGTGCTTCCAAATGCCAGCATCCTGGAGCAACGTCGGAAAGCCATGGAACTGGGGCATGGTGCACACCTGTCATCCCAGCACTCTGGGAGGCTGAGGCAGGAGAATAGGAAATTTGAGCCCAGCCTGCAAAATTTCGAGACTCAATGAGCTCGTCTTAAAATAAAAAATTTTAAAAGGGTTGAGGATGCAGTGCAGAGAGGCCCTGTGTTCAACCTTCAGCACTGAAAGAAACAAAAAAAAGCAGCTGGGAATGGCAGTGCATGCCTGTAAATCCAGCACTGGGGAGGCTGAGGCGGGAAGATCACTGTGAGTTCAAGGCCAGCCTGGAAAACAGTAAGATAATAATTGGGTATTATAATAGTAATAAATACCCAAGAGCTGCAAAAAACACACTAGTGGATTGGACTATAGAATCCAGCAGGCAGGAGCAAAAAAAGAGGACCCTGAAGACAAGGCCACTGGGATTGTTCTGTCTGAAAAGCAGGAAGGAGAGAAATGGAGCGCAGTGTGAAGTATCTGTGTCCAATGGAAGTAAAGTTGCATTGTTCAAACTAGGTCACCATAACTGTAAGATGTTAATTGCGAGCCCAGAGACAATCACTAAGAAAATCAGTAAAACATGCACAGGAGAGGAAAGGAGGCAAGAGGAGACCACCGCACAAGCCCAGCTGAAGAGGAGGAGGGCGCTGAGGAGGAGCTCGGGGCCAGATGTGCCAGGCCGGGAGCACAAACCTCAAAACTAAGTCTCTGAAAAGATGCAAGAGGGGAATTGGACAAGAAGCACATAATCCACACCAAAAGCAGCTGCGAGAGAAGGCAGGCTTCCTTCTTCGCAATTACTGTAAATATAAATAGGCTAAACCCTCCAGATGCACAGGGTGGGTTACAAACACAGGGTCTCTATAGGCTGTACTTAAAGACACTTTGAGAACAAAGATACAAAAAGATTGGAAAGGTGGAAAAAGATATTACATGAAAATAGTGTATCTTATGCATGCCTGTAATCCCAGCACTCGATAGGCTGAGGCAGGAGGATCGCTGAGTATGTGGAACCTGAGAGCAGGAGTGGGGAGGGGAGGGGAGGAGCTTGTGAAGCTGGGGACACATGACAAGGTAGGGCAAGTGGCCTCATGGCCAGGAGCCCACCCCTCAGCCTGCAGAGCACGGACGCAAGCCTTGAAGGCAGGACTGAGTTGCCCCAAAGGCTCCCGCACCCTGCACTTCCAGGGCTGTTATTTTAAAAACCAAGTCTGAGGAAGCTGATAAGCTACTTCATATCCGGGAGACCCCTGTGATCCCAGCTACTCAAGAGGCTGAGGCAGGAGGACTGTACATTTAAGGCCAGCTGGGCAACTGGGCAAGACCCTCTCTCAAAACAACAACAAAATGTCCTAGCTGGGCATGGTGACCCAAGCCTGTAATCCCAGCACTCGGGAGGCTGAGGTAGGAGGATCGTTGCGGGTTCGAGGCCAGCCTGCGCTACACAGTAAGCTCAAGGTCAGCCTGAACTGCACAGTGAGACCCTGTCTCAAAAAGACAAAAAAAAAGTCTTAAAAGGACCTGGGGATGGAGCTCAGTGATAGCATATCCAGAACTACCCTACCCGTCTTCTAACCCTCTTTCTTATCTTTATTTTGAGATGTTTTTTTTTTTTTTGTCTTTTTGAGACAGGGTCTTGCTGTGCAGTTCAGGTTGGCCTTGAGCTCACTTTGTAGCCCAGGCTGGTCTCAAACTCACAACGATCCTCCTGCCTCAGCCTCCCGAATGCTGGGATTATAGGCATGTGCCACCACGCCCAGCTGATGTATTTTTTTTTTAGACAGGGTCTTGGTATGTAGTTCAGGCTGGCCTTGAACTTATTACTTAGGCCAGGCTGGCCTCAAACTCATGGTGCTCTTCCTGCTTTACTCTCCCAAGTGCTGGGATTACAGGAATGTGCCACTACACCCAGCTTTATTTTGAGATACTTAAAATCAACATTTTTCTCTTGTGAGCGAGAGACCCAGGACCCCTGGACCCAAGCGCATGCTGGCGGCCCTGTCCACCTTTTAAAGGCCCAGCCCTCCCCACACCGCACTGTGGACCCAGCAGGGGAGCTGGGGGGACAAACCACAAGTAGCCACATGAATAGCAGCCCTGTCCTGCACCTGCTGGGATCCTGTCTTCCCTTTGCTTAGTCTATCAATTTGCCTGGGCCACAATAAAAAACACCACGGGTGTCAGCACAACACCATTTCCACAGCCAAGAGGCTGGCAGCTCAAGAGGAAAGCACAGCAGCGTGTCACCCTCGGGGCACAGGCGGCAGCACCTCTCTGCCTCTCCTTCTAACCAGGGGCTGATCCCGCCAGCCTGGATGCCGCCTCTGCCCTCATTCAGCCTGAGCGACTCACTGCTCCCCAGATGCCCAGCTAGGGCTCAGGAGCAATTCCCCGTGGCACCAAGACTCAGGACCCAGGAGTCTGACAGGCAGCCAGCGTCTTCCGATTATGTCTTCCGAGGGCAGATTTTCATCTAGAGTTCATTTAAAACACACACACACACACAAACTACATCAATAAAAGAATTAGAGATATGAGTTCAGGAGGAGAAACAAAATCATTTTATTGGAAAGGGAAGAGAAACGGGGAAGCAAGATCACATTATTGGGGAAAGGAGAGGAAATGAGACAGCTTGTCTGAGTGAGGCAGCAAGACCAGAGCTGGAACTCAGGGGTCTTCATGTATTGTAGTGTACTAATATGGTGAGAATAATAAAATAGCTGGGCATGGTGATGCACACCTATAATCCCAACACTCGGGAGGCTGAGGCAGGAGGATTGACATGAGTTTGAGCCAGCCTGGGATACATAGCAAGACCGTGTCTCGACTAAAAAAAAAAAGGGAGAGAGAGAGAATAATAAAATATACTTATACATATGGGTGTGTGAGTGTTTAGGTGTTAGTGCGTGTTTTATATAGGATTTTTTATAATATAGTCCCCAGCCCCTTTGGGTTTTTTTATGTGCTTAATTGGAGTTAGGGGAAGGAGGGAATTGAGTCTCATTGGTTCTGTTTTTCTTAGCTACTCTTTCTAGCAGGGTTTTAACTCTTTGTTTGCCAGAAATGTCACTAAGGTCCTTCAACTTTCCCTGCCTGTCCCCCAACTTTCCCTACATTCCCTTTTAATCTATTGCCCCTGAGACAATATTAGACCTTTTTTTTTTTTTAATAACACTGAAGATTAAACCCAGGGCCTTCACACTGAGCTACATCCCTAGTCCCCTTCTCTCCCGCCTTTCCTTTATATATGTTTTGAGACAGGGCTTTGGTAAATTGCTGAGCTGACATGAAATTTGCAATCCTCCTGTCTCAGCCTCCCAGAGTGCTTGGATTACAAGCATACATCATTACAGCCAATTTAGAACTCTTTTAGCACAGTGGCAAACAGAAACACTGAAACATCACCCAGGATTTGGAGGCAGATTTATTTAATGTCCAAGGGCACCAACCTCAAAAAAAATGTCAGGCCCTGAAGTCTCATGCAGGGGAGGCTTTCATGGGGTAGCAAAGCCAAAGAACAGAGGCAGGGTGGCTTGTCAATTGGGGATTGGTTCATACAGTGTGCATCACAGTGACCAGCCATTTCTGGGACAGAAGTAACAGGAACTGTAACAGTTGAGCTTACCCGGGCAACTAGCAGAAACCGAAGTATACTGGCAGAGGGGGATTGCGCAGCATGGACTGTGAACCCCGGACCTCAGACCCTGCGAGTTAGGGATACAAGTGCACAGCTGCCCAACTCTGGGGTGCCGGTTTGTGTACGACGCCGCTCTGGTAAGAGCATAGACTAAAGCCTCCTTTTGCTACCTCTGGAGTCCAGTTCTTGGGGGCATTCATTTCTCACAGTACTTCAATTCTTAATGCATCTGGGACTTAGTTTTGCTCTGACTTTGCTCCTGCGCTGCCAGGCAGGCGCGGCCTGCAGTAACAGAAGGGTGAGCTCTCCCTGGGGGCTGCTTGGGCTCAGCATCGCTGTAGCCCAGGAACCAGCTCCCTCCTCGGTCCACCAGCCCCACTTCCCCTGGGGAACGTGGAGGGAACGCGGAAAACCTAAGCGTACAAGGGAGGCCTGGCCTGAGACAAGGTGTCTGGAACCTAGCTGGGTGATGGACCAGCTGGGTGATAGGGCCCACTGGGCCTGCAATGAAGTCTCTTTCAGGAGGGCTGCCAGGAATAGGGCGGGCCTGGAGGCCCCGGGCCAAGCTTCCCCAGGGCAAAGAAAGTGCCCGCAGCGCCGTCCTGCACTGCCCTGGGAGGCAAATTCACCGCACTATTCAGAATCCCCTCTGCCTCCGCTAAGTATAAGCTGACCGAGTGGGAACGCTGGGTTTCACTGGACAGCTATTCCCAAAGTCAGTATTTATACCAAACTTTCTCCTCTGTAAGATTACTTAATAAAACTCCAGCAGAGAGCCGCGTGTAGTGGTGCACATCTGAAAGCCCAGCACTGGAGAGGCTGAGGCAGGAGGACTGTCGCTACCTACCCTGAGCTCCTACAGGCTCACTTCCACATCAAACTTTCCTCATTGTAACCTCATAGGTTGATCTCAAGTTGGCTGAGATGCAGCCGTTTTTACATACAAAATCCCTAGACCAAGAGTCACTTTTACAACCCTTTTCAGGTCCCATCCCAGCTTCACTTGCCTGGGAGGTTTTTGCTTCCCCTTTACAATAAATGCTGCTTCCTATTTTCACTCTACAGTAAATACTTTTGCTCAGTCCTGATTTGACTCTCTACCTGGTAGTTCTCCCTGGGTTGTGAGACGATCCCATCACCCAGACAGTAACAATCTCCAGCCCTTTCTTATTGAAAGACAGGTTTTGCTAAGTTGCTAAGGCCGGGGTGGGCTTGAATTTAGCATCCTAAATGATGCTCCTGCTTCAGCCTCCCAGAATGCTGGGAATCAAAGGTGTGCCCCAGCAGGCCAGGCTGCAAAGGCTGGCTCTGAGGAGTACTGTGACTAGTGCATCGAAGCTGGAAGAGGGGACAGACAAATGTGCTGTTTTACTGTTTGTACGACAGGCTCCTGATGCCTCTGTCAAGTGTGTTTGGGTCCTAGTTTCACAGAGTGGCCAGACACAGCTTCCACACTGTTTCTTGTACGTGGATCTGCTCCCCACATCTTGCAGAGGGCCACACAGCCCATCCCCAGAGGTGGCACCTGAGCTCTGTGGTGTCCCGAGCTCAGTGGAGCCGCCGAGGTCGGGCGCCAGCACTTCCGCCCTCTCGGAGTCTGTGAGGAGCTGAGACCGGTCGGGCAGCCACGAGAGAAACCGGGCAGCAGGTGCCCCCAGCATGACAGCTCACAGAGGCCATGTGGCCTGGGACCGGCCCTGCCTCAGGAAGTCCCGTCCCAGGGGTGGGCACACAGGAAGTCTGCTCCTCCAGGATGATCTGGGACACTTCCTTGCCCTGCTCAGGCAGGCTTCCAGGGTCACCTTGGAAAAGAGAGGAGTGTGGCTCTCTGAGGACACAGTCACCCCCACCATGAGGCTCCCCCAGGCAGGCGACCCCTCCTCCGAGGCCCAGGAGTAACTGCGCAGCCTGGACTGACAGAGAGGGGAAAGGGGCCGAGGCTCTGTGCTGAGTAACGGGGCTCCCCCTCCTCTCCTCCAAACCCCCGGTCTCATGGGTACGGGTGGGGGAGGCCCTGCACAGCAAATAGTCCACGGGAGGGGGAGCCATCTGGTCACCCCCACCCTCCCTGCCACAACAGCGCTCAGACCAACCCTGGGGCCGCAGGAATCTCACGCAGACTGGCAGCGGGACTGGCCCAGCTGGGAACACTGATCAGGACCTGTGGGGCTGTAAGGGTCGCACGGAGAGCCTGAGCCACGCGTTCCATGACGTGGTCGCGCAGCCGCAGGAGAGCCCGAGCCTCGAGCAGGTCACCTAGCGTCTCCGAGCGGCGGTTTCCTGGGTGAGGCTGTGTGGTGCTCACTTCCTGGTCGTGGTCCCGGGGTCCAATGCAGAAGGAGCGGCTGGCCGGTGACAGCACGGCCATCAAGCCGTACAGGCTGAGGAGAACGCTGGCCACCCGCTTCACCACCAGAGCCCACCAAGGCGGCTCACACCAGGGGGCTGTGCTTAGTGTGCTCAGAGTCACAAGTCGGGCCTGGCATCGGGCCCAGGTGGTCAAGGTCCTGCTTGGACTCACGACCCGCATTTAGACTTAAGACGCAGGAACAAGAGCGCAGTGTGGCCTGACGGCTTCTATGGTACAACACGAATTCTCGCTGTGGTATAGCACTGTAGCTTCGGTTCTGGTAGATGTTACAGTGCTGAATGGAAGAGTTAGAGAAATAAAAGTGAAATCAAGTTGGAGTTTCCGACCATTTCCTTGTTCTGAATATTGTGACGTGCACACTGCGTACAATCCCTCATCCAGCCCCGGATTCATTTAATGACCTGGCCACAGGCAGGGAACGCGGTCTGTAGGTCAGGGGGTCTGTGCGCGTTCTGCTCAAGCCTGGCAGCACTGACCCGGATGGCCAGGACACAGCACTCAGCGGGGCGTCTGTCGCCACCATGCGCCTTTCTGTCACTTCGGAAGCACCAGGGACAGGCTGTGACAGGGGCCAGGGAACTCGCACAGGTGAGGACCCTGCACCTCTCGTGGGCAGTGTAGGACACTTACTGAAGACCAAGGGAAGGAGACCATCTCATTATTGCTAAAAAAAAAAAAAAAAGACACCCCCTAAACAAAAGCAGCAGCAGGCAGGCATAGTGGTGTACTTCTGTAATCCAGCACTCAGGAGGGTGCGGCAGGAGGATCACTGACAGTTTGAGGCTAGCCTGGGCAACTTGGTGACAGTAAGACCTTGTTTTCAAAATAAATAAGAAAAGCGCCAGATATAGCTTACTTCTGTAGGGTGAAACACCCAGTTCTGCAATAAAACCAAACAAAACCATACTGGTACACACTGTCTTTTTTTTTTTTTTTTGTACTGGGAATCAAACTCAGGACCTCATGCTTGCCTGGCAGGCACTGGCCCAGTGAGCCATATCCCTGGCCCAATACACGGTCTTGCCCAGGATAAAAGTGGGGAGGACAGGGGAAAGGGGAACAGACAAGGAGGAAGGGAAGGAGGTTCCTGCCTCAAAAACCTGAAATGCTCCTTCCTTCGCCACCGTGAACATTTCACCTCCAGCCTAGTTTTTCTCTTGCAGCTGCTCTGCCCTGAGCCGCACTGCCGCCCCGCACAGTCTTTAAGACCCTTCCTGTGCAGAGTCCCCAGCAGGGCGTGAGTTTCAAAAACACCACCTCACAGGCACGCTCCTGTCTGTGTGTCAAGCGGACTCGAGAGCAGGTCATTATCCCTGTGGCCGGAGTCTCCCTGTGGCTCATGAGCCACGCACTGGCTCCAGCCTGCACCCCGGGTCCACACCTCAGCACTGCTGCTGGCTGGCTGCGCCCCAGAGCCCACCTGAGAGCTGGGAGCCTTGTGAGCGTGCAGGAACTTCTCCTGCAGGATTAGCTCATCTTGGGCAGCTACAGCCACCAGTGGCAGAGGAATCTGAGGCTTCTAGATCTGAGGTTGAGTAGTCTTCGTCCAGGGGTCTCTTACATCTTTGGGATCCGTATTTGAAGCAATTTTTGTTTGTTTTTGAGACAGTGTCTTGCTATGTAGTCCAGGCTGGCTATGAATTCACTACATAGCTCAAGCTAGTCTTGAACTTGGAGCAATCTTCCTGTCTCAGCCTCCTGAGTGTTGGGAACACAGACATGCACCACCACACCCAGATCTGGCCAGCTCTCTTACAAGCCTGTGGCTACAGATGCCACAGAAGGCTCTGAGCGAGGGAGGAGACCCACTGGATGGGGCACTTGCTCTTGGAGACTCCCTGCAGGAAGGGCTGGCAGGCCCAGCTCCAGCCTCAGTTTCCCTTCTAAGTCCAAGACTGGGCCTGGTGTTCTCTGAGTTTGCCTGAAGCGCCCATGGTATGGGTGGAGGTCCTGGGGCAGACTGGTTCAGGTCCCAGCCTCGGGGGCGGTGATGGGTTTGTCTCCTCTGGGATACAAGTAGCGATGGTGCTTCTTCCTGGCAGTTAGAGCAGAGCAGCGACAGGTGCTCCTCTCCCAGGGAAGAGGCTGCATGCCCCCTGAGCCCATCCTGGAAGCCCCAGGGCAAAGTCCTCCCCTCCTGGGGCTCACAGGGCTTCCAGGGACCCAGGCAGGAGCAGAGGTAGGACCCCGCGCTGGAGGGAACTGGGGCCAAGAGGAGCAATGGCTGTTCCAGGTCATGCTGCCTGGGGCAGGCGCAGGGCTTGCTGGGGGCTGGTGTGGCCCCTTCGGGTCAGTCTGTCTCCGAGCTGGGCTTGGCGGGGCAGGCGTGGTCCCTGCTGCTCCCTCTCCTTCCTGGGGAAGACAGGCTACGACTGCTGCCCCAAAGCGCCTCCCCACCGAGGACCTGCTCTAGTGCGAGGGAGCAGGCCGAGATGGTCGCCCAGGGCTGCAGGCTCACGGGCTTCCGGTCCCAGCACCGACGCGGGCACTCAGGTAATCCTGAGCACAGCTGTGCACTGGGACCTGCTCTGTGCTGGGCCCTCTGGGGCTCTCAGTTCCATGCTGAGGATGACAGCTCGGCTTCTTCCTGGATGAGGGGCTCTGTGCTCTGGAAGTCAAGCTCCTGCCCAGGAAGTCAAGGCCTGAGCCCATCCGCTCCCCTAAAAGGAGGGGCAGTAACCTCTCCCTCGCAGCCCCAGGGCTGTCAGTGAGGGGCCGTTACTTGCCTAGGGCTATATATGTGGCCCTGCCCCTCAGGCTCTGAGCAATTCTTTTATTTATTTATTTATTTATTTA